GTATTGCCGTACTGTTCTGGTATTGCCACACTGTTCTGGTATTGCTGTACTGTTCTGGTATTGCTGTACTGTTCTGGTATTGCCGCACTGTTCTGGTATTGCTGCACTGTTCTGGTATTTCCGCACTGTTCTGATATTGCCACACTGTTCTGGTATTGCTGCACTGTTCTGGTATTGCTGTAATGTTCTGATATTGCTGCGCTGCTCTGATATTGCCGCATGAGTCTGGTATTCCAGTAGTGTCCTGTTATTGCTGTACTGTTCTGGTATTTCCGCACTGTTCTGATATTGCCACACTGTTCTGGTATTGCTGGACTGTTCTGATATTAACGCACTGTTCTGGTATTGCTGCACTGTTCTGGTATTGCTGTAATGTTCTGATGTTGCTGCGCTGCTCTGATATTGCCGCATGAGTCTGGTATTGCAGTAGTGTCCTGTTATTGCTGCACTGTTCTGGTATTTCCGCACTGTTCTGATATTGCCACACTGTTCTGGTATTGCTGGACTGTTCCGATATTAACGCACTGTTCTGGTATTGCTGCACTCTTCTGATATTGCTGCACTGTTCTGATATTGCCGCACTGCTCTGATATTGCCACATGAGTTTGGTATTGCTGCACTGTTCCAATGTTGCTGCACTGTTCTGATATCGCTCGACTGCTCCGATATTGCCGCACTGTTCTGGTATTGCTGGACTGCTCTGATTCTGCACTGTACTGATATTGCAGCACTATACTAGTATTACTGCACTGTTCTGATATTGCTGCACTGTTCCGATGTTGCTACACTGTTCTGATATTGCTCGACTGCTCCGATATTGTCGCACTGTTCTGGTATTGCTGGACTGCTCTGATACTGCACTGTACTGATATTGCAGCACTATACAAGTATTACTGCACTGTTCTGATATTACCGCACTGTCCTCATATTGCTGCACTGTTCCGATGTTGCAGCACTGTTCTGATATTGCTGGAATGCACCGATATTGCCGCACTGTTTTGGTATTGCCTGACTGCTCTGATAATACTGCACTGTACTGATATTGCAGCATTATACTAGTATTACTGCACTGTTCTGATATTGCTGCACTGTTCTGATATTGTTCGACTGCTCCGAGATTGCCGCACTGTTCTGATATTGCTGCACTGTTCTGATATTACTGCACTGTTCTGATATTGCTGCTCTGTTCTGATATTGCTGCACTGTTCTGACATTGCTTCACTGTTCTGATATTGCTGCACTGTTCTCATATTGCTTCACTGTTCTGATATTGCTGCACTGTTCTGATACTGCCGCACTGTTCTGGTATTGCTGCACAGTTCTGATATTGTCGCACTGTTCTGGAATTGCCGCGCTCTTCTGGTATTGCCTGACTGCACCGATATCACCGCACTGTTCTGGTACTGCTGCACTGTTCTAATATTGATGCACTCTTCTGGTATTGCTGGACCGTTCTGGTATTGCTGCACTGTACTGGTATTGCTGCACTGTTCTGGTATTGCTGCACTGTTCTGACATTGCCTCACTGTTGTGATATTGCCGCACTGTTCTGGTATTGCGTCACTGCTCTGATATTGCCGCACTGTTCTGATATTGCAGCTCTGTTCTGGTATTGCCTCACTGTTCTCGTATTTCTGCACTGTTCTTATATTACCGGACTGCTGCGATATTGCCGCACTGTTCTGGTATTGCTGGACTGCTCTGATATTGATGCACTGTTCTGATATTGCCGCAGTGTTCTGATATTGATGCGCTGTCCTGATATTGCCGCACTGTTCTGATTTTGCTTTACTACTCTGATATTGCTGCCCTGTTCGAATATTGCCGCACTGTTCTGATATTGCCGCACTGTTCTGATATTGCCGCACTGTTCTGGTATTGCTGGACTGCTCTGATATTGATGCACTGCTCTGATATTGCAGCACTGGCCTGGTATTGCAGCACTGTTCTCATTTTGATGCACTGTTCTCATATTGATGCACTGTTCTCATATTGCTGCACTGTTCTCATATTGCTGCACTGTTCTGATATTGCTGGACTGTTCTGATATTGCTGCACTGGTCTGGTATAACTGCACTAGTCTGGTATTGCTGTACTGTTCTGATACTGCTGCACTATGCTGGTATTGCTGCTCTGTTCTGATATTACTGCACTGTTCTGATATTGCTGCACTGTTCTTATATTGCTGCACTGTTCTGATATTACTGCACTGTACTGGTATTGCTGCACTGGTCTGATATTGCCGCACTGTTCTGGTACTGCTGCACTGTACTGGTAGTGGTGCACTGTTCTGATATCGCTGCACTGTTCTGATATTGCAGCTCTGTTCTGGTATTGCCTCACTGTTCTCGTATTTCTGCACTGTTCTTATATTACCGGACTGCTGCGATATTGCCGCACTGTTCTGGTATTGCTGGACTGCTCTGATATTGATGCACTGTTCTGATATTGCCGCAGTGTTCTGATATTGATGCGCTGTCCTGATATTGCCGCACTGTTCTGATTTTGCTTTACTACTCTGATATTGCTGCCCTGTTCGAATATTGCCGCACTGTTCTGATATTGCCGCACTGTTCTGATATTGCCGCACTGTTCTGGTATTGCTGGACTGCTCTGATATTGATGCACTGCTCTGATATTGCAGCACTGGCCTGGTATTGCAGCACTGTTCTCATATTGATGCACTGTTCTCATATTGATGCACTGTTCTCATATTGCTGCACTGTTCTCATATTGATGCACTGTTCTGATATTGCTGGACTGTTCTGATATTGCTGCACTGGTCTGGTATAACTGCACTAGTCTGGTATTGCTGTACTGTTCTGATACTGCTGCACTATGCTGGTATTGCTGCTCTGTTCTGATATTACTGCACTGTTCTGATATTGCTGCACTGGTCTGATATTGCCGCACTGTTCTGGTACTGCTGCACTGTACTGGTAGTGGTGCACTGTTCTGATATCGCTGCACTGTTCTGATATTGCAGCTCTGTTCTGGTATTGCCTCACTGTTCTCGTATTTCTGCACTGTTCTTATATTACCGGACTGCTGCGATATTGCCGCACTGTTCTGGTATTGCTGGACTGCTCTGATATTGATGCACTGTTCTGATATTGCCGCAGTGTTCTGATATTGATGCGCTGTCCTGATATTGCCGCACTGTTCTGATTTTGCTTTACTACTCTGATATTGCTGCCCTGTTCGAATATTGCCGCACTGTTCTGATATTGCCGCACTGTTCTGATATTGCCGCACTGTTCTGGTATTGATGCACTGCTCTGATATTGATGCACTGCTCTGATATTGCAGCACTGGCCTGGTATTGCAGCACTGTTCTCATATTGATGCACTGTTCTCATATTGCTGCACTGTTCTCATATTGCTGCACTGTTCTGATATTGCTGGACTGTTCTGATATTGCTGCACTGGTCTGGTATAACTGCACTAGTCTGGTATTGCTGTACTGTTCTCATTTTGCAGCACTGTTCTCATATTGATGCACTGTTCTCATATTGATGCACTGTTCTCATATTACTGCACTGTTCTGATATTGCTGTTCTGTTCTGATATTGCTGCACTGTTCTGATATTGCTGCACTGTTCTGATATTGCCGCACTTGTCTGATATTTCTGCACTCTTTTGATATTGCTGGACCGTTCTGATAAATGCTGCGTTGTTCTGATATTGCTGAACTGTTCTGATAAATGATACACTGTTCTGATATTGCTGCACTGTTCTCAAATTCATCATAAGGGATAAATATTTCAATATCAAACCACTAAAGGACCTTTTTGATAATGTTAATTATCATTTAATCATTGATCTTTTAAAAGAGATATATTTGTTAAAAGAATTTTGATAAATGTTTTGTAAATAGATAAAGTTTTATAATTGGTAGTTTAGATTATCAACTTCGATTGTTATTGGCTGTATCTTCAAAGGGGGTTGCAGTAGCGTAAAATTATTGTCCTCCTGAGAGGGTACGTAAGTCCCAAAACTTTCAAAGGAAATTTCAACTTACTAGGATTTCCAAATGTAGTATTCTTGTTGTTTTAATATTGGCTAACATTTCTTACAATCAACAACAGCTGAAGGGGTGGTGTAAATCCAGCTAGGGTCCATGCAGGTAGCAAAGGTACTGTAAGTCCCCATGGTCCCTAGTATGGTGATCTTTAGTTGTTGGCGATCTATAGCCTGTTTTTATATTGTATTGTCCAAATATTGCTATCAGTTTTAACTTTCCACACTAGTTTTAGTTGTAATTGTGATATTCTAGTTGTTTTACTGTCCTTCGTCGACAGGTTTTTATAATATACATATCTTCCATTTCAATGTCACATATGTTCTCGTCACGATATGGCTGAGATATTGCCGATGTGACGTTAAATAATAACTTACTCACTCACTCACTCAAATTTCTACAATGGTCTGATATTGCTGGACTGTTCTGATATCGATGCACTCTTCTCATATTGCTGCAGTTGTCTGATATTGCTGGACTGTTCTGATATTGTTGCACTTGTCTGATATTGCTGCTCTGTTCTGATAAAGGCTGAACTGTTCTGATATTGCTGCACTTGTCTGATATTGCTGCACCCATCTGATATTGCCGCACTTGTCTGATATTGCTGTACTGTTCTGATATTGCTGCACTCGTCTAATGTTGCTGCACTGTTCTGATATTCCTGGACTGTGCTGATAATGCTGCACTGTTCTGATATTGCTGGACTGTTTTGATAATGCTGGACTGTTTTGATATTGCTGGACTGATTTGATAATGCTGGACTCGTCAGATGTTGCTGGACTGTCCTGATATCCCTGCAGTTGTCTGATATTACTCGACTGTTCTGATTGTTCTGGACTGTTCTGATATTGCTTCACGTAAGTGTTCTGTTGTTTTGATTAGCTTGTACCGTCACACTGGAAGGTATACATAACATAATATCATTGTGTCCAATGAAAATTACATTTATTCTCTACTTGCCTTTTTATTATTTTAGTATTTGATACACACGGCCAGATGTTTTGCAACTGGGGAAAGTATGGAGAAGACTGCAGCAAAAACTGCCCTCAGACCTGTATGCCAGACACCAACAGGAATCTCATACACTGCCAGAAGGAGACAGGGAGGTGTTCTGAGGGCTGTGTTCCTGGCTGGTTTGACGATCTCTGTGACAAGGCTTGCAGCAAGAACTGCTTGAAAAAAAATCTGTAATCGTCAAAATGGCATCTGCACGCATCGATGTAGAGGGAACTACACAGGAGACTTTTGCAACACTCCTCCAGGTTTGAAACCAATCTGATTTGCAATTCAATTCTGGATGTACCTACACCCAAGCATTTGATTCTTTATCGAGCTCAAATTTCGATACATCGATACAGAATCAAATGCTTGGTGTAGATACATCCAAACATAATCAAGTCTTAGAAGAAGTAAAACACATTGCAATTGAGATATATTATGTACTTTCGTATATGTTTTGGTACAAAATAAATCAGCATCAATACAAATATGTACAACCTTACTGATTTGTCACATCTTAACATACCATTTCATGTTAGAACTCGTCTTAAGCAGTCTATGTTTGTCGTGATGAGCTACAAAAGGATCGCCTGGTCAGGCACGCTGTGTTGGATGTCACCATGGTGTGAATATCGATGCTCATGCTATCAAACTCTGGTTTGTCTGGTCCAGACACGATTGTTTATATACCGCCGTATTACAGTTGGGCAACAACACAGCGAGACATTATAAATGACGTCAGATCTTCAGGGATATCATCTCACCAAAAATGTAGTTTTGGATTAGTCTCATATTGAATTTGTATCCACATTTATGTGTACACCCGTTGTATTCGCATTGTATGTTTACACCTGTTGTATCCACATTGTATGTTTACACCGGTTGTATCCGCATTGTATGTTTACACACGTTGTATCCACAGTGTATGTTTACAACCGCTGTATCCACATTGTATGTTTACACCCGTTGTATCTACGTTATATGTTTACATCCGTTGTATGTTTTCACCCGTTATATCCACTTTGCAAGTGTACACCCGTTGTATCCACATTGTATGTTTACATCCGATGTATCTATGTTGTATGGTTACAGCCGTTGTATCCACAGTGTATGTTTACACACGCTGTATCCACATTGTATGTTTACACCCGTTGTATCCATATTGTATGTTTACACCCGCTGTATCTACGTTGTATGGTTACACCCGTTATATACACATTGCATGTTTACACACGTTGTACTATATGGCTGAAATATTGCCGAGGTGACGTTAAACTCTAACTCACTCACTGCACACGTTGTATCCACATTGTATGTTTACACCCACTGTATCCACATTGTATGTTTACAACCGTTGTATCCACATTGCATTTTTACACCCGTTGTATCCACATTGTATGTTTACACCCATTGTCTCCACATTGTATGTGTACAACCGTTGTATCTACGTTATAAGTGTAGACCCGTTGTATCTACGTTATATGTTTACACCCGTTGTATCCACATTGTATATTTACAACCGTTGAATCCATATTGTATGTTTCCACCCGTTATATCCACATTGTATGTTTACACCCGTTGTATATACATGGTAGGTTTACATCCGTTGTATCCACATTGTATGTTTACATCCGTTGTATCCACATTGTTTGTTTACATCCGTTGTATCAACATTCTATCTTTACATCCGTTGTATCCACATTGTATGTTTACATCCGTTGTATCCACATTGTATGTTTACGTCCGTTGTATCCACATTGTATGTTTACACCAGCAGTATACACATTGTATGTTTACATCCGTTGTATCCACATTGTATGTTTACATCCGTTGTATCCGCATTGTTTGTTTACATCCGTTGTATCAACAATGTATGTTTACGACCGTTGTGTACACATTGTATGTTTACACCCGTTGTATCCACATTGTATGTTTACACCCGTTGTATACACATTGTAGGTTCCCACCCGGTGTATCCACATTGTATGTTTACACCCGTTCTATCCACATTGTATGTTTACACCCGTTGTATCCACATTGTATGTTTACATCCGGTGTATCTACAGTGTATGTTTACACCCATTGTATCCACATTGTATGTTTACATCCAGTGTATCCACATTGTATGTTTACATCCGGTGTATCTACATTGTATGTTTACATCCGGTGTATCTACATTGTATGTTTACACACGTTGTACCCACATTGTATGTTTACATCCGGTGTATCCACATTGTATGTTTACATCCGGTGTATCTACATTGTGTGTTTACATCCGGTGTATCCACATTGTATGTTAACACCCGTTGTATCCACATTGTATGTTTCCATCCGTTGTATCCACATTGTATGTTTACACCCGTTGTATCCACATTGTATGTTTACACCCGTTGTATCCATGTTTCCATGTTTACACCCGTTGTATCTTCGGGATGGAAGCTGTTGAGACGAGGTATCACTTCAATCAACCAAGTGTAAGATGGCGATGCTGTTGTCAACTACAGATAAAATGTTTGATTGGAATAAGTTTATTTCTCTCCATATGATGTTATATCAAATATTATTATATTCATGCGAGGGTATCTGTTTGGAATGCCTGTTGTTTTCAAATGATCAAGAAATCATGGATATTACACTACTAAGTGCATAGTTGTCTTTGATATCGTTGGATGTGGAATATATGTTTAGATGGATGACGCTGACTTCATCTGTGTTTGAACAGGCACATCAGCGCCACCTCCCAGGGAAGTCACCACTCGTGAGTAGAAAACATTTAGATGTATGGGTGGTAACATAATGTTTATAGATGATGGGTAAAGTTCGGGGTTTGACTTGGTCTCCAGCAAACCATGCTTGTCATAAAGGCGACTGATGGGATCGGTTGGTTATATTTTGGTTGAGACATGTCATCGTATCACAAATGCGTAGAATGATGCTCATGATTTTGCTCACTAGAATGTCTGATACAGGCAGGATTCTTTTACAGAATGCCGATATATAGCTGGAGTGTTGCTGAATGTGACCTAAAACAACAAACAAAATAAATAAAAATAGATAAACATATATTTGTTTGTTATTGCTAAATGTAACCTTTTTTCGTCTCACAAAAAGTATATATTTATGCATTTTGCACCAGATACGTCCACGACACATGTACCTCCATCAACCCCCACAGAAACCTCGAACCTGGCTGTCATCCTTGTCCCTGTGTTCCTCGTCGTGACTGTAACCTTGGCTGTGTTCGTGTTCATACTGTAAGTATATACTGACACAAGAACTTACACAGTGCAGATATACGAACAAATTAAGAATACCCTGAACAGAAACCATATCGTGGTTCGATGCATCATCTGACATCACCTGGCACCATCTGATGTTCGTATAGAAAGCTGGTGTCACATTACAATGTGACACTACACTAGATACATTAACTCTTTGTTCAGTTATAGTCGGGTATCACGTTACAATGTGTATCACGTTACAATGTGACACTTTCCTAGATACATTAAGTCTTTGTTCAGTTATAGTCAGGTATCACGTTAAAATGTGACACTATCCTAGATACATTAAGTCTTTGTCCAGTTATAGTCGGGTATCACGTTACAATGTGACACTATCCTAGATACATTAAGTCTTTGTTCAGTTAAAGTCAGGTATCACGTTACAATGTGACACTAGCCTAGATACAGTCTTTGTTCAGTTATAGTCAGGTATCACGATGCAATGTGACACTACCCTAGATACATTAAGTCTTTGTTCAGTTATAGTCAGGTATCACGTTACAATGTGACACTATCCTACATACAGTCTTTGTTCAGTTATAGTCAGGTATCACGTTACAATGTGACACTACCCTAGATACATTAAGTCTTTGTTTAGTTATAGTCAGATGTCACGTTACAATGTGACACTACCCTTGATACATTAAGTCTTTGTTCAGTTATAGTCAGGTGTCACGTTACAATGTGACACTACCCTAGATAGGGTTTTGTTATAGTCAGGTGTCCGAGGTGGACTGATGTATTGACCGTCACAGTTTAGTAGACGATGCACATGTGACGATAGTTGCATATTGAGCAAATGTATGTTCTGTATGTAGATCAGTAACGACCAATACTGACATGTGTATTCTCAGACGTTGCTGGGTAAAACGGAAAAGGGGAGAACCGATTCAGATTTGGATTCCGGCTGCAGTGAGGTCGAGCATCCCATGCTTGAAGACAATCGATACAGCTACCAGGTAAGAAAGAAATATAACGGCAGGTAGTGTGCCCTCATCCTCGCCATCACATAAGCCCGTGTAACCATGTACAGAAATATAACGGCAGGTAGTATGCCCTCATCCTCGCCATCACATAAGCCCGTGTAACCATGTACAGAAATATAACGGCAGGTAGTGTGCCCTCATCCTCGCCATCACATAAGCCCGTGTAACCATGTACAGAAATATAACGGCAGGTAGTATGCCCTCATCCTCGCCATCATATAAGCCCGTGTAACCATGTACAGAAACATAACGGCAGGTACTGTGCCCTCATCCTCGCCATCACATAAGCCCGTGTAATCATGTACATAAATATAACGGCAGGTAGTATGCCCTCATCCTCGCATCACATAAGCCCGTGTAACCATGTACAGAAATATAACGGCAGGTAGTGTGCCCTCATCCTCGCCATCACATAAGCCCGTGTAATCATGTACATAAATATAACGGCAGGTAGTATGCCCTCATCCTCGCATCACATAAGCCCGTGTAATCATGTACATAAATATAACGGCAGGTAGTATGCCCTCATCCTCGCATCACATAAGCCCGTGTACAGATGCTCACTATATCATCATATATAAAGTAGTATGAAGGTTTAGCTGATTCCTTCATAAGTTGTGATTTCGATGTTTGTGTTTCAGGTCCATAGCTGGTGAAGACGGTGAGTAAAAACCGTCTACTGGAAGTACCATTATGACATTACTGGCAGTTATATTTAATCTCTGAATAAATAAACGAAGCAAGTTTGGAAGTTTTGGATAAGGTGCACTTTGAAATGTAATTCTGATGGTAAGCAATTATCCACATATTTCAGATTTTGCTTCCTTGAGCAGAAACAACACATCACGGTTTCAGAAATATAACATGTTTCTTATTAAGGGTGTCAAGTAAGCAATCTTTTCAAAGTTTATCTTTCTTGTTTTCTTGATGTATTTTATATTGATGTATACAAAAAAATCACCACTGAACACAGCTACACAGGTGTTGAACTTCAGCTTCGTTAATGGTGTTCTCTGAGCTGAAGTACTGCTGATATTGACGGATGTGATCGTCCTGTGTGTGTAGAATATACTTGGTCAAATCATTATTTCAGCGCCTTTGACATCAGAACGAAATGAAGCAGACATGGACGGTGAGTATGAACTATATGTAGTGATGTTTGTGCTGACAGACGTACAGGCATTTTGGGTGAATCTATTGGAGCGTGAACTATATGTAATGATGTTTGTGCTGACAGACGTACAGGCATTTTGGGTGAATCTATTGGAGTGTGAACTATATGTAATGATGTTTGTGCTGACAGACGTACATGCATTTTGGGTGAATCTATTGGAGTATGAACTATATGTAATGATGTTTGTGCTGACAGACGTACAAACATTTTGAGTGAATCTATTGGAGTATGAACTATATGTAATGATGTTTGTGCTGACAGACGTACATACATTTTGGGTGAATCTATTGGAGTGTGAACATTCACAAGGTATTCAATTGTTTCCATCTCCTTGCATATTATGTAAACCTCGCATTGTGCCATTTCTTAACATGGCAAATAAATAATGGTCGACCATGTTTCTTTCTCTTCTTCATTATCCAGCAATATGGGGCGGTGGGGTAGACTAGTGGTTAAAGCGTTCGCTCGTCACGCCGAAGACCCGGGTTCGATTCCCCACATGGGTACAATGTGTGAAGCCCATTTCTGGTGTCCCCCGCCGTGATCTTGCTAGAATATTGCATAAAACTAAACTAACTCACTAACCAGGAATATATTTTGCTGGTGATGCAAGCACACGACTCTTTCATTTCAATACTTGGTACCAAACGATATGATAGACAGTTAGGAACCATTATCATGTTATCAAATGTACAGCGTGATTTGATAATCGACAAATATACCGCACTATACCAAATTTACCTACACCATTGCATTGTACATTCAAATTTAATGTGGTATTATTCATATTGAGAATATAATAAGTTTGTTGGGGGGGGCATGCAAACATGCAATCCATCGATGCTATTTTTCTGATCAGTATCCGAGAAAGATGACGATTCAACCTGCAGTTTTGAGCTCTTCGAGGACGATGGCCTGCCACCTGGTAAGAAAAGAGAATCTATATTGAAGTTTGTTATCTTCCAGAGAAGCGTGGTTCAGGTCTTTCCTTCTTCTATTCAAATATAGGTGCAACCCGTGGCACAGTGCCTCAATTATATTTTATCTGAGGGTTTCTTTACGATATATATGAAAACAGATTAAAATATAACTTGACGCACATTTAACGTTCATAACTTTCCCACACAGTATTTGTACATATACTGAACAGCAAAAGAAACGCAAGTCTGGCTTTTTGTCAAGTTTTTGAATAGAAGACAAACAAAATCATGTCTAATCATTTATTCTATAGAAAACACTGTCAAATTAACAACTGAAAGTTGCTGTTGACATTGAATTGCAATAAGTTCAAATCGATCACAGTCCGTCAAATGGAGATACCCTTGAACGCGAAAAGTGACAGTCTCTTTAGTAGCGTGTATAGCCACCTTGAGCTTGCACACAGGCCGTGCAACGTGGCCTCATTGAGGTAACTAGAGTCTGAAAGAATGCCTGAGGCAATTGGTTCCGCTCGACAGCCAATCTCTATTCCACTTGTGCAAGTGTGAGTGGCTGTCTACTGCCCCAATCATCCATCCAATTTCGTCCCAGAATGTTCAGAGGGAGCCATATCCGGGAAGAAGAAGGCCATGGAAAAATGTAAATGTTGTTCTGAGCTAGAAAATCCATAGACACCCTTGCTGTGTGGGGACTGCAAACGTCGCTGGCGTTGTTGGCGTGCCAAAATTGGCCCCACATATAGCCTTCGGCAGTGGATTCCAGCAGCCCGATGACGACGCCTAATCGTATTGCTGGACACTGCTCCCCTTGACCCAAGAACTAAGGCTACTGTTAATGTTGCTGCTTGAGTTCGGTTCCTTAGATGATTGACCCGGATGAACCGATCTTGTGCATGAGTTGTCACTCGTTGCCGTCCGGTACGGGGACGATCATCAGCAACCCCGGTTTGCTGATGACTTTGACCAAGTCGTGTAATGGTGGTAGGATGACGTGCAACTTTCTAATGCCCATTCCCCTCTGCTCAATCGTTAGTCTAGCCATCGTTTGTGTGGCGTGTACACTTCCTTGTGTCAATACTGAACTGTGTTTTGACACAAACCTTTATAAAGAATACCTCAGAGTGAAATGCATGCTTTCCATCCAGAACCGTCGATGCATGTGCTAAAATTATGGTTTTGCTGCACTGTTGGCGTGTTTGTGGGAATGGTTCGTATGGTGAGTGAGTGAGTTAATATTTATCGTCACATCGGCAATATTTCAGCCATATCGTGACGAGAACATTTTATAATTATATTAAAGATGAATAAAGTTAGAAATTAAAAAACCTGTTGACGAAGAACAGTAAAACTACTAGTGTATCACAGATATCCATTTAAAACTAGCAATTAAATCTAAAATATTGGAACTAGAAATTACAATACAATATAAAAACAGGCTGTAGATTGCTAACGACTGAAGGTAGATCACCATACTAGGGACCATGGGGACTAATGGTTCGTATGGACGTCCAATTGCATGACATCATCTTATCTGGGATCATTACGCCAGTTTACCATGAACGTTCCATAAAGATGAACGCTTACCTTCATGAAATTTCATTTTTTCGAAACTTGCGTTTCTTACTCTGTTCAGTGTATATTACATCTAAGATGTAAACGACAGCCGAGTTTATCTGGCACTTTGTTATATATGAGACTTTGTTTTCGGTGGTTTAACATGCTAATCTAATTTATCAGGTACGCTAGACCAGAAGATAAAGGATGTCCAACAAGTGTTTGTTGAAACTGGGAGCTTTAAGAAGGCTAAAGAAAAGCTAGACACGTTTGGTCACGTGACAATAACTGGTTGTCCAGGGGAAGGTAAAACATCCATGGCCCTGATGCTGGGAGCTGAATGCAGGAAGCTTGGGTATGAAGTGGAACTGGTTGAGGATCTTGATAAAGCACGGCTGACAGATTATCTCGATATTGGCAAAGACGTGTGTGTCATATTTGATGACATATTTAGGACAGTCAGATCGCATAAGGATCTGTCCGGAATTAAGCACTTCTTGTACGACCTCCATGTGTACCTAGGACAGACCGATTCCAGGTCTGAAAGACGATACCAGTGTCTGCAGCAAGAATCAAGAGGAGAGCAGAGAAAGCTCTTTCAGCCTCACATCTGTGTTATTTTCACTGCAGAAGCCAGCAATCTTAAGTATGCAAAATCGAAGCTGGGAGGGCAAAGGATTTTCATTAGATCATCATATGTCCAACTTTGTTACACACAAGAGGAGAAGAAAGAATTGTGGCGGATGTACACACGTCCTCGCGAGGATAATTTAGATGAGAACATCATTACATCTTATGAAAACACAACTGTTGGTTTTCCTCTGGCATGCAAACTTTTTTCAAGTTGTGTTGACTTTCAACATGAATATGTTTTCGATAAGCCTTTGTTCTTCATCATAAAACAGCTTCAAAAGATTATTGGCTCATTAGATGACAAGTCAGCTGCTCTCATCTTGATGGTACTGTGTGGAGGTCAGCTGAATATTGGTCAACTGGAGACCGAAGTAGTATGTCAGGACTGTCAACTGGAGCCTGCACGTACGAGTCCAGACAGTCAACGGAAGCCTGAAGATGCCACAGTAGACAGTCAACGGAAGCCTGAAGATGTCACAGTAGACAGTCAACGGAAGCCTGCCAGGTCAGACAGTCTAGTGACGCTTGAAGGTATCAGGTCAAATGGTCAACTACATACTGATGGTGACAACCAAGACCTAGAGGTTCATCTGCAGGCAGTCACAACCTTTGTGAAGACATCAACCAGACAGGGTGTCGCTAAGGCTCTCTGGAACTTCTGTGGTACATTTCTAACAGAGGGAAACATGATGACATTTTCCCATTCTTTGATTTATGATGTCTGTGCTTCTGTGTTATTTAGTATTGAACCACAGTTTACTCTCAGACATATGAGTGTTAAATTTCTCCTTGAGCATATCGAGGATCAGCATCCTGACATTATCCCTGTCAGCATGCTCACCATTCCTTTGTCTGAGGCCAACAGAGAAATACTTGTTGACAGAATGGCTGATTCATTTGCCAGAGGTGCTTTGACTGAATACATCTTGCATCCCATATGGAGACATGAGTTTATAGCCAACAAATTTAACACAATGATACAGCACCCAGATCGTCTGTGTGAAGATGTCAGGCATCACATTCTGTGTTACGCTTGTGCCACTGGGAACACAAATATCCTGGGGCAACTTGTACGTCACTGTGACATTAACAGACGTTGTTTCAATGGCTGGACACCGGTAATGTATGCAGTGGTCTCTGAACAGATGGACTGTTTTGACATCCTCGTGAAACATAAGGCTCACATCAGTTTGTGCGATGACAACAACTACAACATACTGCACTTGGCGTGTATATATGGACATGTACCCACAGTAAAACATGTTAAAATGGTACTCAGAAAGCCCAACGCTTATTCCTATACCAACCAGTTTCTAAACGTTCAAGCACGAAAAGACTGGACACCAATAATGTGCGCAGTGGTATTTGGAACTGAGGGTGTGTCAGACTGTTTTATAAAACCCAAGAAGAAAACTGATAAAGTAAAATCCAAGATCGGTTTTGAACAGAAAATCGATTTCGGTTTGAGGGATAGCAACAACAATACCCTCCTCCATCTTGCATGTCGGTGTGGCAGTAAGACCACCGTAGAAAACCTGCTCCCCAATATTGATATAAATGCCCGCGGCAACAATGGACAAACTCCAATACTGTCTGCTGTTTTGTCTGGGAGGAAGGAAGTGTTTGATGTTCTCGTGTCAGAGAAAGCTGACATCATACTGACAGATGAAGACAACAACAGTCTGCTTCATGCGGCGTGCACCGTTCATGATATGGCCATGATGATGTATTTGAAAACAAGGCTTGACATTAACATTCGGGGACAACATGGCTGGACCCCAGCTATGAAGGCAGCTGTGAATGGAAATAAGGATAGATTTGAACACCTCCTGGATCCACAAAAGGCTAATCTCCAAACGGATGACAGGGGAAATAATATTCTTCATCTTGCATGTCATGGAGGAAATGTCGCCATTGTGAAACAATTATTGCAGACGTTTGATATGAACGGCCGGGGAAACAACGGATGGACGCCAGTGATGTTTGCAGCTGTGAATGGATTACAAAGTGTGTTTGACCTGATTGTGTCAAAGGGAGCCGACATACGACTTCGGGATAACTCCAACAACTCCGTATTACATTTAACATGTATAGGCGGAAATGTTTCCACAGTGAACTCTCTGCTGCCCCAAACTGATATCAACTGTCTGGGACACAAAGGAAGGACAGCAATAATGGTGACAGCTTTGCTCGCCCGACCAACGCTGTTTGAACTACTGTTGTTAATGAAGGCCAATATCAGACTGGCTGATGACAACAGAGACACTATCTTACACCTTGCCTGTGAGGGTGGGAACTGTTCCATTGTGAAATATCTCATGCGGAAGTTTGACATCAATGCTTCTGGAAGACATGGTAGGACACCAGTCATGGCTGCAGCTTTGGCAGGAATGAAAGATGTGTTCAATTTGCTTGTGAGTCAGAACGCTGAGCTCACTTTGACTGATGACCACCGAGACAGTGTCCTACACCTGGCGTGTCAGGGAGGAAACACAGCTATTGTAGAACATCTTGTGACATATTGTGAGGCTAATCTTAAAGGACAGAAAGGGGTTGTTGATGAGCATACACCGAGGGAAAGACCAGGTGATACGATAACAATAGTTAATGAGGTGACTGGTGGCTTTGACGTCGACGTCAGAGGCAAACATGATCAGACGCCACTGATGAGGGCAGTTTGTGAAGGCCATCTTGACGTGTACAAATTCCTGGTGTCTCATCAAGCCGATCACACACTTGTGGACAAGGATGGACAGACTCTTCTACATCTTGCTAGCAGGTATGGTCAGCTTCATGTGATTGAGTACATCATAGACTCTGTTGATATCAACAGCAGAGACAAGGCTGGTTTGACACCTGTCATGACATCAGTTACTTGTGACAAAGTTGCTGTGTTTAAATATCTCAGAGAAAAGGGCGCAGATTTGTCACTGGTCGACAATGCAGAGAATGATGTTTTGCATCTCGCTTATAAAAGAGAGAACAGGCAAATGGTAGAACTACTGGAACCACCCCAAAAGATAAAACGACTGTCTGGACTTAAGAATACTTGTACTCGTACTCCTTCTCATCCTAAGAAGAAAGGGCAATGAAACTGAACAAACGCAGATGTCACTAGTGGAGGAATAAAGCCAGACTGTGAAATCAGATATAAATCGTGCTCACCTGTACAGACAGGCCGATCAGGTGACACACTGCTTTATCGAGCTTGTTATGAAACAACAAATACGTGGAATGTCTACGTCCGCCCTGTCACAATCTATCTGGGGTCAAATTGATGGCAGCTGAGGACCTCATGTTGTCTCTAGCTGCTGATGCTGCAAATCGTGTTCTCATTCAGCGGGGAATTATTGAGTACTTTGTAAAACAAAAGAAAGTGATGCTACCAATATGACCGTTAAAGGACAGTCATGTTGACGGTGACAGTATGTGAAGCTGACGGAGAGTAAATGGATGAAAGACCACAGTTGGCAGCTTGGCATCGCAGCCGTTAGTCCAGCAGTGAGTGAGTGAGTGAGTTCATATTTAACGTCACATCGGCAATATCTCAGCCATATCGTGACGAAAACAAATTATACAGTATAAAGAGAACAGGTTTTGAAGATTAAAACCTGTCGACGATGGACAGTAAAAATACTAGAGAATCACAGATATGAATAAAACTACCGAGCAAAGCTGTCCAGCTGATGTGTTACTAACAATGTAACTTTCGAGACTTGTCCCTGTTCACCCAGTAATGCATGCTGAAATCGTTGGTGACCTATGGGCATTGGCGGGGAATTAGTTGGTGACCCATGGGCAATGGCACATTGACAGGGAATTAGGTGGTGACCTATGGGCAATGGCACATTGACAGGGAATTAGGTGGTGACCCATAGCCACGGACACATTGACAGGGAATTAGTTGGTGACCCATGGGCAATGGCACATTGACAGGGAATTAGTAGGCGACCCATGGACCCATATGGACAGGGAGTCAGTTGTCGACTGCAATCGACGGGGTAATAATGTGCTTTGGGCATGGTATGCAGCACAGTTAAAGTGCAATACAAAAGCACTATTACAAATACTACCACTTCACTCATGGCGATTTGAAATATTCACTTTCAAACAAACATCTGTTACGGTTAACCACCGACACAAGCAAATGATGAGAAAATGAGAGTGTGTAAATGTTTATGAAACTAAAGTTTCCAGTACAGAATATCATCTTGTCACCGGTTTTAATCTCAGTATATGTGTATATTTTAGATACATGACAAAAATCGCTTGCGCCCGACGTGATGGTATAAATCCTGCATGTGAACTGTGTAGGAAGCAGACGGATTGAATGTCCCCTTGGTCCCTAGTATGGTGGCCTAACTTTGGTTGATTTTTATACAGTGTTCATCAGTTGATGGTTTAAACGTTTTTCATGCACACAGACTAGTTTTAAATATATTCCATAATCTAGTTGTTACACTGTCCTCCCATGACAACATTTTATGTATGAGTTAATGTTTGACTTTCTGTCGTCAGGACATGGCTGTAATATAGCTGATGTGACGTCAGTTTTTAACTCACTCACTAACTGGCTTATAGGAACTGAATGTGTTCAACAGTTGCTTTTTTCATGCTTTAATTGACTTTAAAGACAATATGACACAAATGGAATAAATGTTTTACAAAGACATTGCGATATTGTGTATTTAGCCTGTAACTCCCTCAAGATTCAACTCCGCAACACAATGTTCCAAGAGCGATACTTCGCCGACATATTTTGGGTGAGTGAGTGAGTGAGTTTTACGCTGCTTTCAGCAATATTCCACCAATATCACGACGGGGGACAACAGACATGGTTTTCATACATTGTACGCATGTGGGGGTTCGAACCCGGGTCTTCGGTGTTACGAGCGATCGCTTAACCACTAGGCTACACCACCGCCCCACATCCTTTTGGGAGCGTATGAAGCACTGCAAACTACCAATAGTGACATTGCTAAGCAATTCAGATTCATTTGAAGCAATTAGCATTCCAAACAACTTTGAACTAATGAAACAAGATAGCATTTAGTTGAACTTATTATGAAAGGATGGAAGGGAATGGAGGATCATCTAGAGACTTGACACATTGCGTCCTGTAAGGAATCGAACCTGGACCCTGAGCATGGCGGGCTGATGGTTTCGTGTTTGGGCCACACAGTCATCAAATTAAAATCACATGAGTAAATGTGGAGACTAATCTAGAATCTAACCTGGACTGGATATTTTCATGTTAGAGCTAAGCAGTTATCAACAGAAATATCTGAAAATCAAATGAGGAAATGTCAGCAGAGAGCGCTGTTGAGGTGGAGATTTTTATTTATTATATCTAGGGGAGTATGTTGTCAGCCATGTGACTTTAACATTGAGGATTTGATGTGATGCTTACTGATCTGGACTGAATGTGTGTGTGTGTGTGTGTGTGTGTGTGTGTGTGTGCGTGCGTGCGTGCGTGCGTGCGTGCGTGTGTTGTCAATATAATATTGTGTGGGCGAAAATATCGGAGTTCATATTTTACATATGATATCATAGGTCAAAATAACACTTTGTCATGGTGACGGGACGTAGTGAACAATGCTATGACGTCAGGTTTCTTCTATGATGTTGCGTTCTATATGCGGTGACGGCAGGTACCTAGCCTTTGCAGATTTGGGTGTATTTTCCTTAATTTGACGCCTTCGGTAATACATAGAATATTATATTCGTGCCCATATCATACTCGCTCGGGAAATACAAACATTTAGGCACTCGTGTCGTGTCGTAAACATAGTATGACATGGGCACTCATATAATACCCTCAGTAGTATACACAATGGTGGTACGCGACCAGCTCCCCCTCCCCAAAGGGCTAGAATTTTTCAAATTAAGTCTAGAATTTGCCAACTATCACCAGGGTTTTATCAAGGATTATGCCAGGACAGTGATGCCCCTGTACGCGATCACGGGGAAGAAACCGTATGAGTGGGGAGAGGAGCAGGAACAGAGTTTCCGGGATTTAAAGCAGGCGTTCCTGACAACGCCGGTGTTGGGCATGCCCAACATAAAGGATATGTTCATCTTAGACACAGATTCTTCGGACGTGGCTATCGGGGCTGAGCTCTTGCAGATATAACAAGGGTAGGAGCGGGTGATCAGCTACGGCAGCTTCTCATTGGCTCCGGAACAATGGCGGTACTGCACGACCCGCAAGGAATTATTGCCAGTGGTGCATTTCACGAGACAGTACCGCCACTACCTACTGGGGCAGCATTCCCGGGTACGGACAGATCATAACAGCTTGAGATGGCTGATGAATTTCAGAGCACCGGAAGAGCAGCTGGCTCGCTGGTTAGAGGAACTGAGTCAATACGACCTGAGGGTAGAGCACCATCCAGGAGCCAAACACAAGAATGCGGACAGCCTGTCCCGTTTGGCTGAGGAGGTGGAGTGCGAGAACTACCGGCGATTCGTGGAGCTTCAGGGACTCTCATGCGGGGGCTGCCGATATTGCCAGAAGGCACATCAACAGTGGGGGCACTTCAATGAAGAGGTAGATTATGTGGTTCCGTTGTCGGGCCGGTCTAGGACAGTTAGGGCCTTGACAGTGGCGGAGGAGAGTAACAACCAGGTATAGACCCCCACTGGGCAGGATGCCAATGGGGAGGGCAGCAGTCAAACAGAAGGCAAAGCACACACCCTGGAGGTGTGTAGGACCGAGGAAACATTCTCAGTAAGGGCCCTCACAGTACCAGAGTGCCCACAGAAGGGGGATAGTGACTCTTTGGACGGCTCCCTGTCGGCACTGAGAGCTGTTCAACATGAGGACAGCGACCTCAGACATTTGCGTAGATGGGTAGACAGGGCTGAGGTACCATCAGACTCAGAACTTTACCTGTCTAGCCCGGCCGCTAAGTCCTATTGGGTGGATAGGGAGCTATTCGGAAGAAACGAGGCGGGAGTACTGGTGAGGAAGGAAATTCCGGGGGTGAATGAACCGGAAAAACTGCTGATCCCTAAAGGACTACAGCGAATGGTGCTACATCAGGTGCACGACATCCCAATGAGTGGACACATGGGAGTGACGAAGACCAAGGAGAGGATAAAAGGAGAGGTACCATTTGTAACCGATGTGGACAAGACATCAAGGACTACGTGTCCGGGTGCTCAGCATGTAACCGGAGCAAGAAACCATCATGGCAGGCCCGGTCAAGAATGACTCCATTCCATGCGGGCGCCCCGATGGAGAAGGTGCGCCCTTGACTTTATTGGCCCCTTGCCCACGAGCAAAGCAGGGAACCAGTATATTCTCATGATGGTAGACTAATTCACCAAGTGGGTGGAGTGTGTGAATCTCCCGAGCCAGAAAGCAGAAGTGACAGCAAGGGCAGGAGTTAATGAATTCTTTGACCGGTTTGGGTTCCCATTTCAAATCCATACGGACCATGGCAGAAACTTTGACAGTCGGTTGTTCAATGAAATCTGCCAGCTGTTGCAGGTAACGAACACGGACGACACCCTACCGTCCTTCCTCAAATGGACAGGTAAAGCGATTCAACAGGACGCTGATGCAGATGATCCGCTGCTACATGTCCAAGTCCCAAACCACGTGGGATGAATTCTTGCCCCAGCTGGCGGGAGCTATGAGGTCCGCAGTGAACCTCCATACCAGCTACACGGACAACTGTCTGATGTTGGGTGGGGAAGTAAATGTTCCAGTGGATCTTATGTTCGGGGGGCTGAAAACTTCCCCGCAAACCGATGATGCAAGTGAGTATGTCGCAGAGCTACGGGCAGCTATGGAGAGTAGTAGTAGAGAGAAAGACAGTCCGGGACCAGTTCCAACAAAAGCCTCTGCAAAGCCTTATTTACCAAATAAGGCTTTTGTCGGACCCTTAGCTCTTGCTACCATTTCCCCTACTATGAAAAAGTTTGAGACGCTAGCGGGGTACGAACGCCCAATGTTATACCTTCTAGCCGCGCTACTGAGCTACCGGGGACTTGGCTGAAGTATGTTGGTTTAACGGATCTATCCTGGGATTGCATCATCCAATACTATGTCATGTTTACCTCGATGAAACAGTTTAATGTGAATCGCCTATGATCTCTTTGGTGTTTGTAATAAAGGCTTGCCGGGCTTTTTTCACACCTTGTTCTATGTACTTTTTTTTATCATCCTCGCTGATAGCAGACTTACGAGACTTGGACCGAATCTCTTGTTTCATTTCGTTATATTTTGTGAGTTCAGAGAGGATTGAACGAAATTCCTCCTCTGAGATCTTACTGTCAGTGAGTGCAGTGGAAATACGCTCACTTACTGTGTTGAGCTTTGCTTCTGCCAGAACCCTGATCCCATCATGTTTCAATGCCTTACGATGCAGTCTGCGTGATGCCAACTTAAGCGCCAACCCTAACACCCCTGCCACCCCAGCTGTTATTTCAATACCTAGCACTATAGGTGCAGCCACGATGGTAGCTAACAACCCAACACCTGCCGCCCCTAGTCCCATGCTGGTTACCATAGGGTAGTATCAGCCCGTCCACGATATTGAAAGCTCTATGGTACTTTTACATAGTGCTTTACGTGTGTCGCGGTCTTGCTCTAGTTGACGTTTTACATCACATAACTGCCTCAAGCGGAACCCATCTACGGTTTCCAGTGTCTTCGCTACTTCCTCTATGACTGGGTATAGCCCCATCCTATAATATATCTTTCAAAAGATATTTTAATTGGGTTTCATTTAATCTTCGATTAACGTACTTGAGACTTATAAGGCGCCAATACTCATGTAGGAAAATAGGTGAGAGTGCAATAGGTGACGTTGTTTTCACATGAAACTCCTCAAAGTGGCGGCTTATTATCCACCTATAGTAGGGGATTATTAAGGAGATTATATTACCCGTTGAGGGGTCCGGTTGTATGACGATACGGAAACGGCTCCACCTGGCCTGGGAACTCCAGCGTACAGTCACCCCGGGTAAAAGTTGTTGTTCTGCAGGAGCAATATTCTCTATTAAGACGTCCATGATGAGTGTGGAGCCTGGTGCTATAGATGTAATCCCTGCGTACCCGTAGCAGTCATACCTTAACTCACCCTCGGGGGATGCATATAACTTATTGGGGTTCACGCTTAGTAAAATCGTTGTATTAGGGGCCGGAATGAAACACCCGGGCTGGGTACCGCTATTCTTAACTTCAGAGATATTATTATATTCCTTGAATGTGATATAAGGTGAGGTGAGGGTTAAGTTGATTAGCCATTCGGGTTCTTTAAAATCTGATAACGGTATCCGCCTATACACGTTGTCTTTGAAGTGTAGGATGTATAAGGTGTCTTCCTCAGGCTGATCGAATCCCTCTAGGTCCTTGAGTGTGAGTTTGGGTAGATGATCGGCTATTGCTGCCCGCCTATACACATTGTCTTTCAAGTGTAGGACGTACGAGGTGTCTTCCTCACCAGGCTGATCGAATCCCTCCGTGTCCCCTAGGTCGTTAAGCGTGGTGTTTGGGTGATGACTGGTCATTGCTATAATACTATTACGAGATAATTTCCAACTGGTTTTCTGATAATAGGTCAGGGGTTAACTTCACCCCCATGAAGTGTATGTTGTCAGGTAGGAAGATCTTGGTTAGTGATATAGTGTTTTCCACGATCACGGTGACACCCTGCAGACTGG